TGAGTTCATGCTCATGTCTCCTCTTCATGGGGGAGTGGGCAGAGGAGTGCAATTAATGAAGTATTTGATGTTTTACAATGCCTCATTTGGTTTCAGTGGGCCTTCTTGAGGGCAGGTCCTAACACCTTCTGTGGAAGTCAGCATTTCACATTAGTTAATGCTTCTTTCCTGTTTGGTGAGTTACAGAGGATTACAGTGCAAACACTCTATATAACCTTATAACATGGGGTACAGATGTTATAAGTGAGATTAATACGTGCAGCATCCTACAAGCATTTCATAAAGTCTAAGCACTAAACACATTCTTATAAATTTAACTTCTATTTTAACAAGGCTAACACAGGTGAGCCAGTCTGGTTTTCAACTATGTATTGCTCAGTGTTCAGTTGAGACCTAGGGGCCTTGGAATGAGATGGTACCTGGTCTGCCAGTGTCACACACACAGAAGAATTTTGTGTTCACACTGCTGCTTAACTTAAATAACTCCTCTCGCTCCCTGATGTATTTATAGAGAGCAATCATATCTCCCCTCAGCCTTCTTTTGGTTAGCCTAAACAAGCCAAGCTCTTTCAGTCTCCTTTCATAAGGTAGGTTTTCCATTTATTGTATCATCCTAGTAGCTCTTCTCTGCACCTGTTCCAGTTTGAATTCATCTTTCTTAAACATGGGAGACAGAAGAATTCAAACTGTTCTTAAACATGGGATATCAGAATTGCACCCAGTATTCCAGATGAGGTCTCACCAGTGCCTTGTATAATGATACTAACCCTTCCCTATCTCTACTCAAAATATCTTGCCTGATGCATCCTAGGACTGCATTAACCTTTTTCATGGCTGCATCATCTGGCTGGCTCATACACATCCTGTGATCAACCAGTACATCCTGGTCTTTCTCCTCGTCTGTTACTTCCAACTGATAAGTCCCCAGCTTATAGCAAAAATTCTTGATGTTAGTCCCTAAGTCCCTATCTTGCACTTCACACTATTAAATTTCATCCTATTTTTTTATTACTCCAGTTTTCAAGGATATCCAGAACTTCTTGTATGATATTCCGGTCCTCCTCTGTGTTGGCAATACCTCCCAACTTTGTGTCATCCACAAATTTTATTAGCACATTCCCACTTTTTGTGCCAAGGTCAGTAATAAAAATGTTAAATAGGATTGGTCCCAAGACCAATCCCTGAGGAACTCCACTAGTAACCTTCCTCCTGGGGCTTTTGTGAGCTTGATATTTCTGGAAGAGTGCCTCTCTCTCTTCTGTCCAACAAGGAGTTAATGATTTTATGAAGCCCCATGCAATGCTCATTTGGCGGCCAATATTAGTAGGCCTACAAAGTGGTGGTAATTAGCTGAATATAATGGAATCTGGTTTATCGAGCCGTCTACAATCACCACATAGCTGGGCCAGTCAGCAGACTGTATTTTCCAGGGCAGTTGCAGGAAGGATTGAATGAGTGAAAATTGTAAGCCTATGCAAACCATGACCGGGCTGTGTTTGCTCTTGGCAAAGTCATTGAGAATTGGCCTTTTCAATGGTATTGTGTGACCACAGATGTCACGTGACACAAAACAAATGTCAGGAGTATAGCATTGCCTCCATCCGGCTGATCTGAACATGCCACAGTATTTGGCATTGGAGAGGAGGTGCTGGTCTTCAGTGAAAGCCCAGGATGTGCTCCTACATAGATGGTAGGATGGCTTGGTGTTGGTAAAACTGGACATGACCATTTCATTGACAGTGGCTTGTATAAGTTAATGACTGTTAGATAGTCATTCTTGATGGTGATTGAGTAGGGGTTCATAATAGGTAGGACTTCGATGGAATCTTTAAGGTCATATTTTATGTACGTCACAAGTCCATATGTAGGGTGATGGCTTGCAGACATGTGGACTCTATTGATCTTCTATCACTGGCCTTCACTCTCCAGGTGTGCTTCTTGTACCTCAAGGGCATAGATATTTTGAATCTGCGGGATCATTGTGAGGTAATCACACTTTGCATTAGATAGGCCCTCAATGTTGAGCTGCACAATTTGAAGCAATGGGCCTATTTGAAGGTTTGGCCCTGACATGGGCCATTATTGCCATTCTGTTTCTGACTGGCAGGTCATTTAAGGACCTCTGGTCATTGATTTGATAACATTCTTTGTGCTTTCACACATAATAGAGAAGACTGTGTGAGGTTATCATCTCCTCCAGTTTATATGTATTTTAAAATATGTATTCTTCAGCTGGAAGTTACACAAGTATCTATCAATTTTGTGGATTTATGGAAAAATGTTTGTTATTTGTTTGGATTAGGAGAATATTTTTTCTTCTCTTGTGAAATTGTTCCTGCTTATTTGAATTTTGAACACACATCAATGCTTTTACCATGTTTAAAATTCTACATTTTCAAATAAAATGTGGATGTTTAAAGAAGACTCACCGATTAGAGGACCTCTCAACTTTAAAAGAAAGAATCTACTTTAATATTCAATCTACAAATTTAATTCAATCCCATACATACATGGCATTATCTAGCCCGTACTGATATATGTAATAAATACAGAATTATGGAGCTAGCATAAATAAATCCTATCATTTTAACATGTCAGATTAATTGCTATATGTTTTTGTTTGTGACTTCCTGTTGGGCCTAAACACATTTTAATGTTTGATTAAAAGTTTCTTCAGCGGGCTATATAATTACTTTATAATAATTAATACAGAAAAGTTTCTCACACATCTTTCTAGTAGTTTCTTTAGGGACAGTCATTCTCTGACATCACATATGTGTTTAGTCACTAGATGAAATGCTTTGGTGTGAGATATTGCAATGGATTCTGACAACTAACTAAAGAAATGTATTGAAGACCTGCATTGTGTCCCTTCACCTACTGATATTTTTTGAAGAATAATTTTATGTCAATATTTTCACTATTCCATAAAATGTTTCATATGTGGAGTACCTAATATTTCTATTGATAACTGTTTGTTTTGTTCATAAGGAAATGTCCTCTTTGGTATCTGACTTGGATTATAATATGGAATGCCTATAAGAAAAAAAAAGTAAAATCTCTTATTTTTAGTTCTCTCATAATTTTTGTACTCTATTGGTCTGTTCTCATCAGAACATCTCTGTGATACTTCACACTTATATACTCCCTTCCATGCAAGCATTTTAAGGGGCCTGATCCAAAAAACGATTGAAAGTCAGTGGGATTCTTATTTTTATTGATTTCAGTGGGTCTTGGATCAGGCTCACAGTAAACTACAAACAATGATTAATTTAGTCTAACAACAATCCTGTGAATTAGGAAAGTTATATTATTCCCAAATTAACTACGAGAAAGCTCAGGCACAGATAGGTTAAATCAAAGTGTTCAAACGTTATTAGGCGTGTGAATCAATATTTAGTCAATTATATAAAAGGTCTCATATTCCAGTAGGCGGGGACTCACAGATCCCAAATGAAGTGAGCGGCAGCTGAAGTTGCTCAGTGTCGCTGACAATCAAGACATTTATTTAGGCTCTTCAGTATGGATTTAGGTATCTAACTTGAAGGCTCCAAATTTGAAAAATTTGACTAATTAACTTTCCAAATGTTGCACTTAGCAGGGGTGCTGGAACAGCAGGGACCAATGGACCATGGCCCTCCAGGTCCGTCCACTTTTTTCGCTAGGGCCCGGCCCCCTGCCCCTCCTCTTCCCCCTGAGGTTCCGCCCCCCGTCAGGCTGCCCGGAACAGACGCTGGATCTGGCCCAGACAACAGCGGCCTTGGGAACCGGAGCCGGGGATCCTCCACCTGCCCGGTCCGGGGGAGCCGAGAGCAGCCCCCGACCCCATGTCCCCGCCCAGGACAGATGGATGGTCCGCGGCTCCCCACAGCTGCCCGGGTGGCTCTTCGGCACCTTGGGCCAGGCGGGAAGCCGGAGCCGGGTAGGGGTAAGAACCGCGCGAGCTGCTGTGGGGAGCCAGCGCGGACCTTCCACCTGCAGTGGGCAGGGGTCCCGCGTGAGAGACGGAGACAGAGCACTGGGGGATGCTCTCGGCCCTCCCACCCTCAGCAGGTGGAGAGGCCAGAGCTCCGTGATCCGGCTTGGCCAGGGGCGGGGCCTTGTGGGCAAAGGAGGGGGCGGGGCCTCGTGCCCCCTCCCCGCCTTTACGAAAACTCAGCCCCTGCCTAGGAGTTTTGTGTCAGAGCTGGGAAGGGAACTGTTTCTCAAGGGAGAAATCCTGACACCACTGAAGCAATAAAATATTTGCTGTTGACCTCTGCGAGAACAGAATTATACCTTACGTCCCAGGCCTCGTTCATACACATACCGGGAGATTATTTTAGAAATAAAATAAGAATGGGTACATCTAGCCGTGAACAAAGGGTTTTAAGTAAGATAGTTCCATCTTCAGAGAAGCATACTGTGAATTTACTTAATACATTCCACATTCAGCCTCCAACATAATTAACGTTCTCTGCTCTCTAGCGAGGAAAATCATGTTATTGCCCATGGCAACAACAGAAATTTACAAATAATCTAACCGAATGAGGATATGAGGGAACTAAACTGCCTCACCTGAAATTACTTATAACGCTGAAAATGCATGCAATGGCATTTTTTTACACCAACAGACACTTACATGTTGTATTTTAAATCAAGAGGGTAAAGAAGTCGGTTGTACTCTTGAAAGGAAAACTAAATTTGCAACATTCCGATGAGAATCTTACCTTCGGAGTTGGTTTATTATAAATTGACCTGGTCTGCGCAGTCTCCACTTCTCAGATCTTGATGATTTTTTAACTCTCAAAAAATTAGTTTATGAAAAAACTTATGCTTAGTGATATTGCGGGGTCTTGCGTATTTCCGTCTCCGATGTGAGCATTTCGCCTGCAGTTCCCTCACTAAGACTCAGAGTGCCGCTGTTGGCCAATGCGGAGTCAGGGCTGCAGCCGGGGACCTATTGGACTGAGCCTCTTGCAGAGCTATTACATTATTATACTGTGCAGATCTCTGAAGAATCGCAGCAGAAAGACACAGTGTCGCGGAAAAACCAAATCCTCCCGGATTGCTATAATCTAGCAGGGGAATATATTTCATTTATATTTCATTACCGACCCCGAGGATTCTTACAAGCCGAGGGAAATTTGGAACGGAGAATCGATTCAGAATAAAAGAGGCAAGGAAAACAGAGCCCAGAGTGGCTGATATGGAAACCAGACACAGAGAGCCGGGCCGGGCAGTCACAGGGCAAGTACTGTTCTTTCCCTTTTTATTCTCTTTGTTCTGCCGGGCGGTCTCCGAGCAGATTCGTTACTCCATTCCCGAGGAAATGGCCAAAGGTTCCCTTGTGGGGAATCTCGCTAAGGATTTGGGGTTAAATGGCAGAGAGCTGCCTCAGCGAAAGCTGCGTGTCAATTCGGAAAAGCCATACTTCAGTGTGAATGGGGGAAATGGCAATCTCTATGTGAACAACAGGATAGACCGGGAGGAGATATGTGGGAAATCACCGATTTGTTTCCTACATTTAGAAGCTGTGGTTGAAAACCCTTTGAATGTTTTCCACGTGAATGTCGCAATCCAGGACATGAATGATAATGCACCGCGGTTTACTAAAAATAATATGGATTTAGAAATTAATGAATTAGCACAACCTGGTGCGCGATTTCCTCTAGAACCTGCGCAAGATCCCGATGTTGGAGCCAATTCACTGCGGGGTTACCAGCTCAGTCCAAATCGGTATTTTATATTGAAACTGAAGGAAAATCCAGATGGAAAAAAGGAGGCAGAATTGGTGTTAGAGAAACCTTTGGATCGAGAGAAGCAGAGTTCCCATCACTTGATCCTGACGGCTGTGGATGGGGGAGATCCAGTCAGAACCGGAACAGCTCAGATTAAAATAACTGTTACTGACGCTAATGACAACCCCCCTGTATTCACTGAAGAGATCTACAAAGTCAACCTGAAGGAAAATCTACCAAAGGGCTCTTTAGTGTTCCAGGTTAAAGCCATTGATGCAGATGAAGGTTCATATGCCAAAATAACATATTATTTCAGCAACATACCGCAGAGTTCACGACATCTGTTTAGTTTAGATTCTGGTAACGGAATAATCACAACAAAAGGATTTCTGGATTTTGAAGAAGCAAATAATTATATAATGGGTGTAGAAGCGAGGGATGGGGGAGGTCTCACTGACCACTGCAAAGTTCATATAGAAATTCTGGATGAGAACGACAATAGACCCGAAATGACACTCACATCCGTGTCCAGTCCAATTCCCGAAGACTCAGTGCCCGGGACAGTGATAGCTCTGATGAAAGCCCGTGACCGAGACGATGGAGGAAATGGAGAAGTCACCTGTCGCATTCAAGATAATTTGCCATTTAAAAT